GATTCCATAAAATGCAATGAGAAATGGTCATCAGCTGTTGTCTGGAGAGCCCTGTTCACAGTCACCCCCACTGAAAGCTCCAGTCCCCAGGGCTATCTTGACTGCGGGGAGTGGGCAGGGGGCTGTTGTGGGGTTTTTTGTTTGTTTTTTGTTGTTGCTCTATCTTTGTTCACAATGCCCTTTGATTGTGGTGCTTACCCAGCAGGGGAAACTGAAGCTGAAACATTAGGGACAATGGGATCAGGGGGTGATCCAGATGGATACATTGGGAACAAAATACACTTAACTGCATTACTTTCAGCTAGCTGATTTGCCAGTTCTTTTAAGTAAACAGTGCCCACGTATCAATTGCCGCAAGTCAAATTCGACCTGCTGCAGGCCACATGATCTCTGGTTGCCATGCTGGAGTAGCGTATGCTGAAGAATTCTTTTCGAGTGACATGCGTGTGTCGGGGGAAAGTTCATAGTAAATGATACTGGAAGAAGCTACATTAAGAGACCCAGTGGGCTGTTGCATGCTTGGGCGAATACATAGTTTTGATAGACTGCATGGATGGCACAGGCCTGCAAACCCTTCCACAAGGGCTTAACTTTTGAAGTCCTGTTGAAATCATGGTAGCTATTTTGTGCTTAAAGTCGAGCACGTGATTAAACAGTTGCGGGACTGGTACCTTAGATGTCACATGTATCTCTTTTCATGCATTTCAATATAAATCTTGTACTTCTCTGTGGTATTGTAGCAACAGCAGGGCTATCGTTAGAGATCTGTTGGTCGTTTCCGTGTCAGCCTCCGCTTTGGGAGACAAGGTGATCGGAGCGGAGGGGTAACTGGCTATGTCTAAACTACACCAATGTGTGAATTGCAGAGTGCACCAGAGTGTTGCTATCTAACTGCCCCATGTGGACGCTGCTGGCGGGAGCAGAAAGGTACCTCATTTGCTTTAATATAGACCTTTTAGTTTGCGTCAGCAGTGTCCACACAGGGCAGTTACAGTGCAACACTTTGGGGTGCTCCGCAATTCACACCCCTGTGTAGACCATATTGCGGCTCAGTGTAGACCGGGGTTCTCAAACTGGGGGTCGGGACCCCTCAGGGGGTCATGAGGTTATTACATGGGGGGTCGCGAGCTGTCAGCCTCCACCCCAAACCCTGCTTTGCCTCCAGCATTTATAATGCTATTAAATATACAAAGAAGTGTTTTTAATTTGTAAGGGGGGGTCGCACTCAGAGGCTTGCTGTGTGAAAGGGGTCACCAGTGCAAAAGTTTGAGAACCAATGGTGTGGACAAGCCCTGAGTCACAAAAATTCAGCTGATTTGCATTTGGCATCCAAGTTGTCGGTCCTCAAATTATTATTACTATTTTTAGCCCTGAACTAAATATTTTTGCCTCTTTTAAGCCAAAGGTCGGGGGCATCAGCAGCATGTGATTTTTTTTTCTGACTGCTATAACCCTTACTTTTCAAATGAAATTTCTCATGGCATTGAGTTTCACAACTCAGGGCTTGTCTACACTTACCGGAGGGTCCGGCGGCAGGCAATCGGTTTTCTGGGATTGACTTATCGCGTCTAGTGAAGACGCGATAAAATCGATCCCTGATCGCTCTGCCGTCGACTCCGGAAATCCACCGCGGCAAGAGGCGGCAGCGGAGTCGGCGGCAGCGCGGCAGCGGTCGACTTTCCCCCGTCCTCACCGCCAGGTAAGCCGACCTAAAATACGCAACTTCAGCTACGGTATTCACGTAGCTGAAGTTGCGTATCTTAGGTCGGACCCCCGCTGTAGTGTAGACCTAGCCTCAGCCTTTTGGGAGGAACTTTAGAGTTACTTTGATGACAGCCATAGAGCTAGGTGCGCCACTGAAGTAAAGTGCTACATCTTCATGGATGAGAGCGGAACAGTGCCAGCTTTACCCCATCAGAGCCCTGTAATTTCTAGTTTTGGGGGAGGGGGTTAAGTGAGAGATCATTATTATTTTGGGATCTTTGGGGCATCGATTGTGTACTCCTGTGTTTGTACAGCACCCAGCATGACCCCGATATGGAGCTTTTCTGGTTGCCGCTGCAATGTATATGTGCGAATAATGTAAATATTAATGAAAAAGAAGAATCACACCAGGTAGCCCTCTCAGTGTGGTAGCTGCTTTATAGACTGATGTGAAAGCATGAGGTGTAATCCTGGTCTGACTGAAGTCGATAGCAAACCTTCTGCTAAGAAAGCCTGCTGCTAGACTGCTTGATAAAGTGCAATGTACTTCCCCTTCCATGTCCCACAGTCCCACTGTGAAAGCCAGGATAAGGAAAGATTGCACCCCCATGTCTGCTCCAAGGAGAGTAGTGAGGGATTGATGGTCTGCAGTTGTGCCTGGACCTTCACTGGAGCCAATCTTGTCCCCTGGCTCGTCACACTGCACACCATAAGAACCAGGCACAATCTGGTCTGGAAGCTGAGCCGGCAGAAGCATCAGGGGTCAATGAAGTTGAATATGCATCTCGTGAGCTTGATAATTATTTTTAAAAATAATAATTTTACGCTAAATACGGTATTTCAATGCCCTCCTTTTTCAGTGGCCAAAGGGGATGGAGGCGGGTGGCTACATTTTGATAGGTCTGGCTGAAGAAGGATATCAAATTCACAACCCTGGAAACTGAACTCCTCCATGTAAACAAGCAGATTGTGTCATCCTAGAACCCCCCCCCCCCCCCCTTTACTGCCTGCTCCATGTGATTCAGCACGGAACTAGAGGGAGCTGCTTGTAGAACGAGGGGCTAGTTCATTCCTCAGGATCTGTTTACTGCTTCTTGGGCTCTGGGAATAGGCTGAGAAGAAGGGTGCACAAACCCAAACACCTGCAATTTACAACAGCTGCACATTCTGTTTTCTCACTTTACTTTTCCTGGGAACCCTTTCCTTTCCTAAGCATGCTCAGCCCACATGCACAAGTGCTGAACAAGCCACAGAATTGAAGAATCTCCAGTTACTCCTTGAGACAGTGCACCAGAATAGCTTAAATATTATGGTATATTCCAGGGGTAGGCAACCTATGGCACGTGTGCCGAAGGCGGCACGCGAGCTGATTTTCAGTGGCACTCACACTGCCTGGGTCCTGGGGGACTCTGCATTTTAATTTAATTTCATTTTAAATGAAGCTTCTTAAACATTTTAAAAACCTTATTTACTTTACATACAACAATAGTTTAGTTATATATTATAGACTTATAGAAAGAGACTTTCTAAAAATGTTAAAATGTATTACTGGCACACGAAACCTTAAATTAGAGTGAATAAATGAAGACTCGGCACACCACTTCTGAAAGGTTGCCGACCCCTGGTGTATTCCAACAAGGCCACATGCCTGACTTTTACATACACACACTAAGGATCTATCACCACCCACTTGCCAATAATATGCATGTTTACAGGTCTCTAAACATAAACCCTGAACCTGGTGGTTCAGCACCTTTAAACATAAGAACATACAAATGGCCATACTGGGTTAGACCAGTGGTCCATCTAGACCAGTATTCTCTCTTCCAACAGTGGCTGGGGACAGATGCTTCAGAGGAAAGGAACAGAGCAGGGCAATTATCGAGTGATTCGTCCACTCTCAGCTTCTGGCAGTCAGAGGCTTAGAGGCACCCAGAGCATTGTGTTGTGTCCCTGACCTTGCCGAATAAGCATTGATGGTCCTATTCGCCATGAATTCATCTAATTCTTTTTTGAACCCTGTTATACTTTGGCCTTCACAACATCTCCTGGTGATGAGTTCCACAACTTGACTGTGTGTTGTGTGAAGAAGTACTTCCTTGTGTTTGTTTTAAACCTGCTGCCTATTAATTTCATTGGATGACCCCAGGTTATGGTGTTGTGTAAAGGGGTAAATAACTTTTCCTTACTCACTTTTGCCATACCTTTCATGTTTTTATAGACCTCGATCATATTCCCCCCCGCTTAGTTGTTTCTTTTCTAAGCTGAACAGTCCCAATCTTTTGAATCTCTCCTCATATGGAAGCTTATCATTTATTTGGTATTCACAGTCTAATTACAATCACAGCTTACTACTGAAGAGTAGCTTGCAATACTATATGTATGAAGCACGTTTCACAGCTTGACATGGAGTGTCACAAAAATGGATAGGAAATCATCATAAAACCAACAAATGATTACAGGGGAGCAAGAGGCTAGAAGTGGTCAATACATGAAAGTTAAGTGGGTTTGTTTTGTTTGAAGGGGCTTTTGAAACTGTTATGTCGGAAACATACGTAATTTCTTCATCTGAAGAAAGTCCACTGAGAATCAATGTGGACTTTCATTTGCTCTGCGCTGGTCTTCAACATAACTGTGCCCTTAATGTTATCCCTGAAGTTTGAAGGGATATTGTCAGATTAAAAATCATATTGAAAATATTGCTTACCTACATTGCAAATTACAGTTCATTAAATTGGAAAGAGATGTTAAAAACTAATTTGGGTCCTGATCCTACCTTACTGTATTCACATGAGTAGTCCAGTTGGGCCTACTCACCTATATAAAGCTAAGCAGTAGCACCACGCTGCAATTTTTGAGCTGCAAACACCGGATCTGATTCTGTAACCCTCTCTTACACTGACGGACTGCCCACAAAGGCAATGGTTACTCAACATGAGAACAGGTTGCAAAATCAGGCCATTTACAAGGGAAGGTTTTGCTTGTGTTAAAAGTGTGCAAACACACACACACACACACACAAACTCCCTATATATATCCTTAGTAATTTAAAAGTGTATGGAAATATTTCTCTTGGTCTTAAGGTTGCAAAAAGCTGCATTTACAACTCATAAATATGTGGTCAAGTTTCACCTATGTCCTTTTTGAAGGAGACTTTACAAAGTATCTGAGAACTTAAGAGAAGATAATTTAAGAGAAGTTGTCCTTCAACATGCAAGTTTATAAGATCTTTACATTAATGTTTATGATGGGCCCCATAAACTCACTTTTTTTTTTCATTTTCTTCTGCTTTGCAGGTTTATGACCGGCCCCCAAAGCATTCCGCTCTGCACTATGACCCAGGCCTCCAACAGGACTTCACCAGTGACACCTTAAAATCAAAGCACCAGCAAAAAAGCAGCAACCAGCACCATCTTGACTGGTCAGCAAGCTCTGACACTGGATCTGCATCTCAAAGTTGCTTCCTCAATACAGAATCCAGCCGAGAAGCAGCTAGTGCCACCAAGGTTTCTGCTCAAGAGCCAGTTGTTTCTTTCAGCAAGCCTCAAACAAAGAAATCTGGTGCAGGAAACACATGGAGTCAGTTGTCAACCAATAATAAAGAGCTGGCTGTATGCAGTGCCGTTCCATCGCCAAATAACATCACTGCAGCATCCCAGCCTAGCAATCCTTCCGAGTGCAATGGGCTTTCGCCTCTAGTGGATAAAGAGGGAGGAGGCCAAATGGAGATCCCTGACCAACCCACTGGGAACACAAAGAAGAAATCCAGCAAAAAAGACTTAATAAATCACACCATCCAAAACACAGATGTAGAATGGGTGAAAAATGCTCAAAAAGCATTTGAGAGCAAAACCCATGACAGCATGGAAAGGAAAAAGGAATCTTATTCAACGGACAAAATGCTAGAAGCATCGCCCTCGAGGCAGAACCCAAGTTCTGCCAATGGTTCTGAGAGTGACACCAGTCACGTACGAATTACTATCCCAATAAAGACTCCGACAGCAGATATGTCTGGCCACAAAAGGAAAAAAAGGCAATCTGCAAAATCTTCAGCAGATAAAACTCTCCAGGAAAAAAGCCTACCTTCTGGACTTCCCATGAGCAGTGAAGTAGCAAACAGGACTAGTTCACAACTGGAGGCAAGCAAAAAAGATCTTCGAGCCATAAAGCAAGGGAAAGCTCCTGAGAATGAGTCCCCATTGACAGCTATTGAGAGCAGTGGGGTCACTGACAAAGCTCCCCCAAACAATGCAAGTAGGCTCAGAAAATCTGCAGCTGCAACTTCCATGTCCGCTCCTAGCAATCTTTCTGCATCTAGCAAATTGCCACATATCCAGCACCCAAAACTTGCAGCAAAACGGAGATGGACCTGCAGCAAACCTAAAAACATGCTTCAAGAAACCTCCGTGGCTACATCCGAGAAGCTGATGATAGAGCCTCCTTCAGCCTATCCCATCACTCCATCTAGCCCTCTGTATACCAATACAGACAGTCTTACGGTGATTACGCCCATCAAGAAAAAAAGAGGACGACCAAAGAAACAGCCTTTGCTCACTGTCGAAACCATCCACGAGGGAACCTCCACCAGCCCGGTCAGTCCAATCAATCGAGAATTTCCAGGCACAAAGAAAAGGAAGAGGAGACGGAACCTGGCTAAGCTGGCCCAGATGGTCCCAGGGGAGGACAAATCCATCAGTGAACTGAAGTTTCACAAAAAGGTCGGCAAGCTGGGCGTATTGGATAAGAAGACCATCAAGACCATCAACAAGATGAAGACCCTCAAGAGGAAGAATATTCTGAATCAGATCTTGTCCTGCTCCAGCAACATAGCTTTGAAAACAAAAGCCCAGCCACCGTCCAGCGCAGGGGCTGCGACCATCGATGCCAGACTAGGGAAGCAAATAAATGTCAGCAAGAGGGGGACTATCTACATTGGCAAAAAACGGGGCAGGAAGCCAAGAGCAGAGCTGCAGCCCCCTCCAGAAGAACCTAAGACAGCCATCAAGCACTCAAGGCCTGTTTCGAGCCAGCCAGAAAACCCAGCAGTGCCTTCCAACTTGCAGTCACTTGTGGCATTGTCACCAGCAGCTATTCATCCGCTTTCAACACAGTTAGTGGGGTCTAATGGCAACCTTAGCCCTGCAAGCACTGAAACAAATTTTTCAGAGTTAAAAACTATGCCAAATCTTCAACCCATCAGTGCTCTTCCTACAAAAACCCAGAAAGGAATGCACAGTGGAACTTGGAAGCTGTCTCCACCCAGGTTAATGGCTAACTCACCTTCCCATCTCTGTGAAATAGGTTCTCTGAAAGAAGTCACGCTGTCACCAGTGAGTGAGTCTCACAGCGAGGAAACCATACCAAGCGACAGTGGAATAGGTACAGACAATAACAGCACTTCTGACCAAGCAGAAAAAAGCTCAGAATCCCGCAGGAGGTACTCTTTTGATTTCTGTACCCTGGACAATCCAGAGGCCATACCATCTGACACCAGCACAAAGAACAGGCATGGTCACCGGCAGAAGCATCTCATTGTTGATAACTTTCTCGCTCACGAGAGCATTAAAAAGCCAAAGCACAAGAGGAAAAGGAAAAGCCTGCAGAACAGAGATGACCTCCAGTTTCTTGCAGACCTCGAGGAGCTCATCAACAAGTTTCAAGTGTTCAGGATTTCCCATAGAAGCTACACGTTTTACCACGAAAATCCATATCCTAGCATTTTCAGGATTAATTTTGATCACTATTACCCTGTGCCATATATCCAGTATGACCCATTGCTCTATCTTCGCAGGACCTCTGACATGAAGTCTAAGAAGAAGCGTGGTAGACCTGCCAAAACCAATGACACCATGACAAAGGTGCCTTTTTTACAAGGGTTCGGTTACCCTATTCCCAGTGGGAGTTACTATGCACCCTATGGAATGCCTTACACATCAATGCCTATGATGAATCTTGGTTACTACGGTCAGTATCCAGCTCCTTTGTACCTGTCCCACACACTTGGAGCAGCTTCCCCATTTATGAGGCCCGCAGTGCCCCCACCCCAGTTCCATTCAAGCTCTCATATGAAGATGTCCACCACTGCCAAGCATAAAGCCAAACATGGAGTGCACCTGCAGACGCCTGTGGGAATGAGCCTTGGAGACATGCAGTCCTCCTTGGCGCCTCCAAAGGTTGGAGGAACAAGCGTTTCTAGTGGCCGACTTCACAAAAGAAAACACAAACATAAGCACAAGCATAAGGATGAGCGGATATTGGGGGCACATGAAGATCTGAGTGGTCTTTTTGCTAGCAAGTCCACCGGCTTCTCCAGCCATGCGATCAGCGAAAGGCTAAGTGGCTCAGACAAAGACCTCTCCTTGCTCAATGAGAAAAGCAAGCATAAGGAGAAACAGAAGCACCAGCATTGTGAAACGGGACACAAAGGCTCAAAGAGTAACTTTGAAGTGGATACACTGTCTACATTATCGCTTTCTGATGCCCAGCAGTGGACGCAGAGCAAAGATAAAAGTGATTCGAGCAATGATCCCATTGACTCTTGCACAAAGAGATACTCGGGTAACACTGAGAGTAGTGCAAGGTCAGAGTCCCTGGACATGTTTGGTGAAATCAGTTCCTCCATCGAAAAGCGGGACAATGATGCAAGTGGGAATAAAAGAAGAAGCTTTGAAGGGTTTGGAACTTACAGGGAAAAGGACATTCAATCTTTCAGGATGAATAGGAAGGACAGAAGTACCTATGATTCTTCAGCCTCTTCAGGTAAGCCCTGAATTTCTAACCTGAACAAAAAGGAGCTTGGCATTCTCAACTATGATGTTCCTTTTTAAAAGCTAGTCACTTATTTCTCTGTCATTATATAATTAAACCCCCATGATTATCCAAACTTTGGATTGTTGGGGAGTTGGCAAGAATGTTGGCTAGATCTAAAGCCAAAACCTTTTAAACACAGTTCGTTATTGCATAGCATTTTTTATAAATATTTTCTCTATTTCTCTCCTATTTATCCTCGCTTCTTATCTTTCCATTGAAAATCTCTTGGGCACTGGATTCTACAGCAGTCACTACTATAGGTAATTGCTGGCAAGGGGAGCACTGCAAACTTTCCTATTGATGGAATCCAGTACCTCTCACCACAGTGAATTGAGTCTCTGCTTGCACAGCCCTTGGAAGTAGAGCCATCATATTAAAGAAAGATTTTCTCCTATGGCATGGAGGGCCTACAAAAGATGCCTGTTGATCACTAGTCTTAGGGTACGTCTATACTTACCCGCTGGTTCGGCGGCAAGCAATCGATCTTCTGGGATCGATTTATCGCGTCTTGTCTAGACGCGATAAATCGATCCCAGAAGTGCTCACCGTCAACGCCGATACTCCTGCTCCGCGAGAGGGTACGCGGAGTCGACGGGGGAGCCTGCCTGCCGCGTGTGGACCCGCGGTAAGTTCGAACTAAGGTACTTTGACTTCAGCTACGTTATTCACGTAGCTGAAGTTGCGTATCTTAGTTCGAACTGGGGGCTTAGTGTGGACCAGCCCTTAGTCCCATTAGGTGTGATGGGAGTTAAATGGTAGTTGTGGGACACTGAGCCATCCCCACTAGTTGTGTGTTGTAGTGCCAATCAGGAGACCCAGGAATCCCGGCGATAGGCTGTTTTTGGATGGATAAACAGGCAGAGACCCCGGTTAGAATCCTAGTCTAATTCTCTCACTTTCTGGTCAGCAGGAGTCATGCAGAGTTGTGCACTTCAGACCGGGGTGGTAGCAGGGGGAGCCTGGTGTCACTGAAGCAATAAGCCCTAGATGATTAAGGAGCAAGGTTGATTGATTTTTAGCACTTATGACTTAGAAGGTAAGGTGGGTAGGTGGGACTGGGAGGAAGGAGGAGACTTGAAGTTCCATTTGGAGGTTCAGGGCTTCTCCTCCCCATACACTGGAACCTTGTCTGCAGATAGAATTGGACTTTGCATTATAAAGCTGCCTTCCTGGTAATGACACAGAGACAGGTGTTTTGCTGCAGCGTAAACAACTTTGGCTTGGGAAGAGGCCCAGAGCTCCTGCACCATCAGATATCCCATTGCTCTCTCATAAAGCACATTTCACGCTTGGGTTCTGGAGGAGCGGGCACCTTATTGAAATGGCCAGGTTTGAAGGAGATTCAGAGCTGGATTCTGATGCGCTAGAAAGGCACATCAAATTTGGGTCATTCCTGGCCTCGAAAATGAAGGGGCAGAATCGCTGTTGGGGAAGGCGCTGGGAAGCAATATAGAATTTATGCAGCCTGCCCATATGAGATTCTTAGGCTTTTGATTAAGAGCCAAATACTGCTCATGTTTACGTTAACTGGATTACTCCATTTTCTTCACCTTGACTAGGATCTGGCTGTAAGTAAAGAACAGCAAAGTTTTAAATGGAAGAGTTACTAGGTAAAGTACATATATCTAATATTCTTCCTACCCTCCCCCGGTGTACTATGCAAATAGACACAGTTTGACCAGTCTGTAATCTTTAGTCAACAGAAAACCAACCAGCAGTTTGGAAATATATCCATAAAAATTGCTACATGGACACAGACCAATTGTAACAAATGTGTGACATACAGAAATGCCGGAATGAGACTGAATTTATTTCCTGCTCATAGGCAACCAACATGAATGAGTCAGTTACAAAAGGTTAATACCCCTGTCATAGGGTGAGGTCATTATCCATGGACTGCAATGGCTTCTTTTACAATGATGATATTATGTCCTAATGCATAAGGGTTCAGAGCCCCCATCATTTTTATCCTGAGTACATGCTGGACATTACTGATTTCCCAATATGGGAGCAGTTGCACTTGTAGGCACTTCCATTTTCATGAACCGGAAGAACTGCTCAATCTTAATTTTCCAAGCTAATCCATTTAATATACAAAAAGAACATTCTCAAGAGGAAAAAAAACTAAAATAACTAAGGACACTTTGAAACTGAGCCCTAAAATCCCCCTACATTTCCAACCAAACTGACTTTTAGTTCAGCTGAGGGCAGAATTGTTTGTTAATAAAAAGCCTGATTCATTTTGTTTTCCCTTGGTGCATTATTGATGTCAATACAGAATAAGATGAAGTGGTTAGACCTGCAGTTTCTGCTTCACTAGATTCACTGTTCCAACTTTTAAAAATGGTTTTATATTTAAACCGTAGAATTTCTTACTTTCATGACTGCTAATAGGTGTTGTTCCCCCATGACCTAATCCATCAAGTTGCAGACTATGAACTGTTTTCTTCATTGTCAAAGTATTATTTAGATGGAAAAATCATCCACATTTAGGTAACCGGAGCCAGCTAACCAGGGCTATAACTTGCACGACAAGAGGAAAAATATTAAAACTAAAGAGCTCTGCCAAGAAAGGTCTGGAGCCAAGACTGCTCATTAAAGTCCAAGAACATCTGTCCGCTTATGATTTTCTAAGATCTCAATGCAACCTTGTTTTTTTGCCTTTCCCCTTCACTGATATTCTCAGTTGCAGTCTGCTCTTGAAATTGTCCACAGCTATTAACTGGTGTCCACTGAGGACGGATTAAACTTTTCCATGATAACCTTGACCTTCTTTCTCCTAATTCACCTTGTATTTCATGGAACTGAGAGCCAGACAAGCACTGTGAAATATGTAGTCCTCCAGCTGGAGGCTGTTCCGTAGCTGTGATAGTTCTCATCATCAGGCAGTTTTAGTCTCCCACTATTTACATATAATATATAATAATGATAAAGAAAGGCTTCCTGAATATTCAGACTAAATTTTAATGCAGATTCACAACAGACTTTCAGGTCAGCGTTGTCCTAGCCTGGTAAATCTTATTGCATTGTGTTTCAGTCACATGTCCTCAGCAGTATATGTGCACTGTTTATATCTCCAGGTTCCTCTTTACTCTATGTTACTGGAGGTAAAATATGCAACTAAAAGTGTGCAGTGTAAGGAGATAGCCGTGATAAAAGTCAGGAGAGAACCACTTAAGGCTATCGAGTGCCCATATGCTCCTAACAGTTTTCAGTGTCATGTGCTGCTGGAAGTGCCATTTCATTTTTTAAATAATCATTATTTGTATTCCAGTAGTACCTGAAGGCCCCAGTAGAGATCAGAACCCCACTGGGGTACGAATCGGTCACACACAGAGCAAGAGACAGTCCCTGCCCTGAAGAGCTTGCAATCTCAGGAGACAAAAGGATCAAAGAATCATGATCCTCATTTTACAGATAAGAAAGAGAGATATTCAGTGATTTGTATCACAGGGGGGTAGAATGAGGGAAGTATAATAGCAGTTCCTTCCCTCTCTCCCATAAGTACTGTGACGATAAATACATTAAAGCTTATGAAATCCATAGCTACTCTGGCCATGGAGGTCCTATCAGTACCATAGCTAGATGCTATCTGATTAAATACAGGTTGTGAGTATAATGGAGACAGCAGCAAAGACTGATAACCAAAAAGCTACTCTGTACAGTACTATCTTTCTGTGTATCCCTTTCCTGAGACTGATCACGATCTAGGGGTTATTTTATGCTTAGATTATCTCTGCAGGTCTTTGTAATTGAAGATTACACAGGAAGAGATTATCTAGCACGCATATCAGACATCCTGGCTCAAACATCAGCTAATAAGGACATGGTTTTCATCAGATACAGTGTGGGTACTATGCACAGTCAATTTACAGGAGTATAAAGTTAATTATATGCAGCTATTAAGAAAGGTAGTAATCATCAATCTCCAAGTGTCAGGTATTTAGCATGATGAACATGCCTTATAAATTAATACTTAACTCACCTACAAAATATCCTGTAGTCCCATCCTCCACCACATGGCACCAGTTTAACTCAAATGTTCAGTGGAATCAGTATCTCCTTTAGATCACAGATGGGAAGCACAAACAGATGAAGCTAAGGGAACCAGCAAAGAGGTCAAACCAAGCTCTAGGTATCAGCCAATGTCTGCTAGGACATACAAGAGATCTGTCTGTCTGTCTAGCTTTTTAACAGTTAACCACAAATAGGACAAAGGGAGAGTAGGAGAAATACTGGGCTAAGGCTCTAGAACAAGTGAGACAGTGAAATGGATGTGTAACCATTCTACTGCTGATACAGTACGTACTGCTTTAGAGGCAATCCTGCAAACACACAAGTGAGTAGCTTAACTCTCATGTTTTAATCAACAGGACTTCTCTCATCACTAAAGTTACCCTCAGGCCTAAGTGTTTGTAGGAATGGGCCATCTACACAGCACAGAATAAATCTCTGGAAATCCTCACCAAATAGTGTTGCCTGATTAAAAACAAGACTTGATTTGCACATAAACAAGCATGGCAAACTGTTGGCAACGTCAAAACCTGTTTTGTTTTGTTTTTTGAGGGATAGCCTACACTGTTCTCTGATGCTGCTGCAGCCTCTCAATGGGCAGCTGGAGAGAGCTACTTTTCACTAGTGGGTAAAGCGATTCCTCTTTCTGTGTGTACAGAGAATACCATGTTAGGGATAGCCAAATAGTATTAGTCCACCCCAAATATTGCTGTGGCTTGCTGAATATCTTATTCCATGAGTAGGTTTTTGTAGTTCCCCCACCCCCATCTCGATTTTTCACACTTGCTGTCTGGTCACCCTAAGTGAATATGTTATTGGATGAATAGCAGCAACATTTTTTCAAAAAAGATATTTGATTAATGCTTTCTTTTTGGTGAATGTTTTCTCATTCAACCTGCTCTGGGATATCTATATGTATCTCTATGCTGATCAGA